TTCTCGATTGATTTTGCAACACATAATTTAATGACTTCCTTGGTACTGTATATTTAAAACAAAAAATAAACAGTTCTTGACTGATTTTGCAACACATAATTTAATGACTTCCTTGGTACTGTACATTTAAAACAAAAATAAACAGTTCTCGATTGATTTTGCAACATATAATTTAATGACTTCCTCGGTACTGTATATTTAAAACAAAAAATAAACAGTTCTCGACTGATTTTGCAACACATAATTTAATGACTTCCTCGGTACTGTATATTTAAAACAAAAAATAAACAGTTCTTGACTGATTTTGCCTAAAATTGATTTTCAAATTCTATATAGCCATGACTCTTTCCCCTCTTCCCTTTATTATATTTGTTCTTCTCATATAGCCGAAAAATTTGAACTGAGCAATGATTGTGTCCATACGAGTTGCAACAGTGAAGCCAACTTGAGGGTCATAGGTTGCTGGCCGCTAGTGTATATATTTGATGATGAGGAAAAAACTTTTTAGAAAATTAAGAATAGATGTGGTAAGATTTACATGGAAAACATTAATTGTATATTTAGTATGATTCACATTGGTAAAACGAAAATAAGCTTTTAATTAAGATTATAGTTACATCAAAAATCTCAGAAAAACTGGCATAACCCTATTATCTGTTGGATGAACATTTCTGGAATTATAATGGCGAGTATGAATGGAAGCATTTAGAAGTTATAAATAATGCTAAAACTAAATTAGAAAGATATTTAAAAGCTAGTCGATACAAATAAAGTTATTTGTATAAATAGAGAGGATGGCCCAAGAAATGTGGTATTGTGGAAAGAAACTGTACCCCCCCACCACCACCTGAACTGACTCTGTTTTCAGTTAAATGACGGTGCTTATAAAGGCAACAGCTGTTGCTGAAATTAGTCCACTTATGGGTTTTGTTTGTTATATATAAATATTTTATTTTATTTATAAATGTCGTTTGTTTTGGTATATGTATGAAATTTAAAAGCCACCAAGTGTGCATGAAATCTCCTTCATTTATCAAACATTGTACTTTTGAAGTGACGTGAAATATAAATAGAAGTAGAGTTCGTATCTTATAAATCATATGTGCAACATTTTCATGAGATGATACATGTACAACAGATATAAACTGTGACTTTGATGATTAGTGTATAGTTAGTAGAAGGATGTATTGAAATTCTGTAATTATGACTTATCTTTAATATGTAGAAAGGGAAATGGATTTTTAATGTCTGTAGATTACAGTTTTGCGAATATGTATACTATTTATTTAGTTACTTCTTTGTCGACTTTGGAACTTACGCTATCAAGACTCTTTTGTCAGCGAACAGTGGCACTTGTTCAATCAATCACCTTTTTCTTTCAGACATTTTGTTACAAGTAACAGACACATGGGTAAGCAACAAAGTCACGATCATAATGTAACACATGAGGAACTTCGGTCTTGTGTACTTTGAAGTAGGCTATGTATAAGTAATGTAGAACATATGCTTCGGCCAGGCCTGTTCGGTATGTTCGGCGAGCCAGTTTGCATACGTTATACACTAGGTTAATAGCAAAGTACCGCAAGAATGTTTAATTAATATATTCAATGTCTTTGGTCTACACGCGTAGCAGTATCTAACTCAAATGTAGTACATCTGGCAATGGCTAGGATTTATTACACCGTTCAGAAGTACGTGAAAAGACTCGTAGAGATCGTCTCATTCCCTGGTCTGCACAAAAGTATAACAGTTAAATGTATTTTTACATATTCTTTGATAGAGAAAAAATGAAAACAAACGCGAACCTAAAGTAAGTCATTAACCTGAGGTATAATTTAGTGACGTATCGTATGTGTTTCGGTTTACATAATAATTCTGGAAGGTACTGCATTAAACTAGGAATTGTCTTCTGTCATAATTCTATCGCCCATAGTTCCAGTATAGTTGTAAAATAACCTCAAAAGTGATATTTTTATGTATATTAGAAAATGTGATTTTAAAAATAATTTCAAAAATCAAGCTTCAATAGGGCGTGTTGCTATACCTATTTTTAGACAATGACATCATCTGAATATCGCGTGACGAACCACAGTCGGAGAAACAAATCAAAGAATCCCCATCACCGAACATGCTCGTCCTTTCAGCCTTGGGGTGTTATAATGTGATGGTAAATTCCACTGTTTGTTGGTAAAAGAGAAACCCAAGAGTTGGCGGTGGATGGTATTAACTAGTTGCCTTCCCTCTAGTGTATCACTGCTATATTAGGGACTGACAGTTACTTTATTTATGGTGAGATTGTTGAAAGCATCTTCGTTATATAGGTTTATTCGTAAATATTTATATGTGCATCAGATAGTGTGACGTACCCACAACCATCGTGATCGTCTATAGAATATGACGTTTGTGATCGAACTTGTTCAGTGTAGTTCTGCTTTGCTTGATCGTTAAGAGATACTTAGCCTTTCATATAAAATCAAAATTTCTACTCTTAAAGGGGAGCAAACTATAATTTTCATAGATCATTAAATAAACGCCCGACGTGAATGAGAAAGTCCACCATGGACATGTTCATGACGTCACTAAGTCTATTCCGGTTTGTAGGGGATCGAGTTAGGTATTAGATTAGCTCGGTTCGGTGGTAAAGTAACTAATACTAAAATTATCAACGACGATACATTAAGGATTTTTGGTTATAATTTTAAGCCAGAATGTGGGTGAGGGTTACCTCTATACATTCCCTTTTTTTTTTAAGTTAATGGCTCTTACCCCTTGAAAATAGGTCTCTTGTTGGTGATGATGTAACAATAAAATATTGAATCATTACAGCACCAAGCTAGATTATCATGTTTTAATGAAAGGAACTTCAAACGCTTAAATACCTATACACGCACCAGCACACATGCAAAGGGCATTCCGGTCATGGGAAAAGGTTAGATAAATTATGACCACATTTGAAATAGATGTGTAAGAATGATAACGAAAATGTCCCTCTGCGAAAAAGGAGACATTGGAGCTTGGATTCTGATGATCGCTTCTTTCCTCCTCTTTCAGGTGGGGTGGCCTCTTTTTTTTTTGGTGTCGCACCTTCAGTGGTTGTTGTACTCTTCTTTCAGTTGAACTAGATATTTTTATATTAAAACATACATTTTTATATGCAAGTGCCCTACAAATATAACTTGTTTTATCTTTCATCCCCTGTCTTAGAGCATCTCGTCATCGTGATCAAAAATAAAAATTTATGCAAGAGATTGCTAGTACCGAGTGGAAACTATACGGTTAGTATTGGCAATAAATAGCCCCGAAGTACACACAAACTTCTCTTGTAAGGGGAGGTGATAACCCTTGGTATCTGAGAGTATATAACATGGTGACGAAGTGCATGGGGCTAATCAGAACTCGTAATAGAAAGGTAATGCTCCCAATAGCAACGAGATCTGATTATGATTAACATAATATGTGAACTCTGTAGTGAGGATTGAAACAGTAATAAGTAAATAAAAATGGGATATCAGTGACTAACGTGAAATACCACACAAGTTTAAAAAAATTGCACTTGAACGGTCATATTTATACGTTCAGTAAATCATTGTTTTCTTTTCCTCATTTTTCTTCTTCTTAAATTACCTGTGCAACCTGTATTTCCTTTATAAGCTGTCCGTGGACGACCTGGTTGATTTTTTTCACATGTTATGCTCCAACTTTGACAATGGTTGGAACAGCACCTAGTTTCAAAGTTTTTCTCTCGGGCTCCAAATTCAGAGATTCAGCCACGAGACTGTTCAAGACTCCATCACAAGAGTCGCAAGTAATATGGCTCTCATAAACAATATGACTGTTGCTAAAAATAAAGGTCTCAATACTTCGCATTCTTTAAATTGTCTATCTAGGGCCGCTTGATGGCGCCCTGTGCAACATATAAATTCAGTGCCCCAACCCCTCCAAAATCTTTTTCTAAATATTTACGATACATAATATAAACTATTATAATCATTACAAAGTAATAATGTTATTTATTTACATATTACGTGAACATATGTACATATTATGTCTATATAAAACATGCAGGATTTTCACTCATCTTCCCCTCAGTTGGGCAATCGGACAATCGAGGTCCCTTCCAGCTGGCGCTCTGTGCGAGCGCACCGTTCGCACTACTCACGGTACGGCCCTATATCTATGAATTTCTTGCATAGGGCACGATTTGCCCTAGACTTCGTTGGGTTTGGTGTTTGTAAAAAGCTATTTTTACATTTACCTTTAGTGTTCGTGCAATTTATTGCCTGGTGATTGAAAATAATACACCAGTTATTATCTACAACGAACACTTCAGTTGTGCAACGTGAAGTAACCCTTTTTAACAGGATCCAATGAAAACATTGATCTATTTCCGTTTATCGATTTTCCCACTGACGACAGTTGTCAATGAACCGGATAAGCCTTAATGACGTCAAGGAATGCTCTGTTGTTGCTTTCACCGCTGAAGAGAGCTTACAACATGGCGGCACCCATATAACGTTGAAGTTTTTCGAGTTGTAAACTTTACACACAGAAATCTCAGTAATATGAATTTGAGAGTAAAATTTTTCAATATTTGATTTTTATATCATTTACATAATCACAATTTGACGAAATTAGTTGAATTTCCTTTAGTCAATGTTATTGTTTTTGTGTTCAATGTTTATTTCGAGTGAACTGTTTAAACTGGTATTATATTTTAAGAACATTTCAGAATATATTGGAAAGTGGTCGAGTTACAGCTGTAATGATCGTAATTAATTTTTAGACATTATGTAGTCAAAGTAGTTGTTAAGTTGAGGCGTGATGGTGGGTAAAACAAAATGCCCGGCCCAGTTAACTAACGAATGTTTTTTGTTGTTGTTTGTTTTGTTTTTTGAGAATCATGCCTGCATAACATACATAATTGGTGTGTAGGTTCAGTTTATTTAAAATTGTCTTTGATGATACAGACTTACAGCGGTTATTTACTGCTTGTTTTACAGGAATCTCAAAGGAAATGATATTTCACAAGTACAAGAAGAAGCCTTTGCAGCATTTCATAACCTTAAAAAACTGTGAGTATTTACATATATATAGTTATGAAAATAAATGAATACTTGGTTGTTATTTTTGTGCAGAAGAGGATCAATTAATTATGTCGACTTGTTTTCTAAACTTTTAACTTTCATGCACAGGATTGAAACACCACTAGAAATAAAAACTTGCATATGACGAAAAGTGATAAAAAAATCGTCCTACCATAGCTTTTAATACTTCATAAATATTTGTACAATGGCGCTTTTATACACTTAATGTGCTGTTGTCACGTGATCTGAGTGTAATTTGATAAACCCGCACGTAGAAGTAAAACCCGTGTGGGTTTGTAAGCTACTGAAGAAGACATACTTTGAGTTTGACTGAAATATTTATAACGATGTAAAGTTGTTTAGTAAATAAATGTACTAACGCTAGATAAAAGTAAAATTTACAGTTATTTATTCCAAACTTTAAAAATATACAGTACTCAATCTTTAAATTATAAATGAATGAAGCGAAAATGTACCATTTTTTTACTTGTTGGAAAATCTATTCAATAGTCTATAACAAATGCTTTTAAAACGTGGCAGCATGATACGTATATATTTCAAATCGCTTTTATTAACTCGTGTTTTATTTACTGACGAAACAGAAGAAATGGTAATTGAAGTAAATCAGCGCTGTTCAGTTTTCGTATTTCATTAAAATGTTCTCCTTTATTTTTATTGTTTGTGCAGTAAAATTCAGTGTTTAATAAATATTCATACACATTATCAAAACATAATATACTTAGGCTGCTGATTCGTGTCTCCAAATTCCTTGTAAAAATGTGTTTCCAAATTTAAAGAAGGTGCATTTTCAGATTTACATGATGTTTGTTTATCTACACGATCATTTCAGCAAAGACGTCAGTTATTTTACACTCGTTATCGTCACAAAGAACAATGACCTCAGTAAACGTCTCGTGTTTGTTCAATTTCTCCCGTCTTTGTTGTTAAGCGTAAAGCTACACAATGGGCTATCTGTGCTCTGCCCGCAACGGCATAGAAACTTGATTTTTAGCCCCAAAACTCCTCAAAATTACCGCTGAGCTACTGAGGGGCATTTCTAATGATAGTCTAGAACCAAGTAACTATACTGTAAAGAGCCGTATATGTATTAGTAATAGTTTCTATTTTGAGAAGTAATCGATTATAGGATTTATTTCATCGATATTATTACATTTCCTAATTTATATTATGATAACATATATGCATAGGCGTTAAATACGTAATGTGTGAATATTATAAGCGCAAGGAACTTGGTTGCATGGTTATTATTAATACAAGATAGAAAATTATATTGTTAATTATGTAATTTCCATCAGTTGAAATAACTCTTTCATAAAATATTTACATAACTGTTGAATTGTGTTTGTGAATAAGAAACAAACCAGTGTTACTAAAAAGAACGTTTGAACTACTACAGTGAGAACTAACAGACTTTCACTTGAGGGGCCCCCAGTGGCACGGTGGTATGTCAGCGGACTTACGACGCTAGAAAGCGGGTATCGATACCCGTGGTGGGCAGAGCACAGATAGCCCATCGTGTAGCTTTCTACTTAACTACAAACAAACAAACAATTCACTTGAGGAGTTTTCTTCAAATTTCACGGTTTAATGAGCTCTGTAAAGCTTCAGATCTGTTCGTAAAGACGTTGAGTTTTCCAAGAACCAGATGTTTAAAATATGATGTAAGCTCTGTAAAGCTTCAGATCTGTTCGTAAAGACGTTGAGTTTTCCAAGAACCAGATGTTTAAAATATGATGTAAACTCTGTAAAGCTTCAGATCTGTTCGTAAAGACGTTGAGTTTTCCAAGAACCAGATGTTTAAAATATGATGTAAGCTCTGTAAAGCTTCAGATCTGTTCGTAAAGACGTTGAGTTTTCCATGAACTAGATGTATTGGAAAATATAAGACCTCGTTGAAACATGGAACATTGTCGCTTTTCCTGGTGAAATGTGAATTCGTGCTATTTTACTGGAAGAAACAATACGGTTTTTTTATTTATTATTTTCATTAAGAAATAATGCAAATGGAGTATTCTAGAAGTAATTGTGTGTGACTAAGAAAACACACTCAGCTAGGACTATTTCAGAATCTCAGCGTGCGACTGACGACTGGTCACATTTTAACGAGGGATTTTGGAGAAAATACTCAAATCCATGCATAGTTCGCATGTTTAGTTTGTTTAAAATCGAAAAACACGAGAAAATATTTATGGTTTTGTACATATCTGGAAATTCAGTCGTGTTCGTTTGTTAAAATGTTAGTTTTACTAAAAACAAATTTTGCACGCTTAGCATATTGTTAACCTCTGGACTCGTTTCATTTCCGGTTTTAAATAAACATGTCAAAGCTGGATGTTAGCCACTCTCTCTCCTTCTGTTTTCATTTTTACGCTGACAGGTGGCGACATCTTCTTTTTTATCCCTTTTTTATATTTATAGTATGCGCTTAAGTAAAAAGTTGTCATCACTTTTTTATAACCTTTTTTATTACTTATGCTATAAGTAATATAAATAATGTTATTTAAAATCAGAATATATAGAATATTGTATGATTAATCAGTATTCTTTGTCCTTGTTTTTAAACATATAGTTTTGAAGGAGATGTCTTTTAAGAGCAATATTGTTTTATACACTGTAAAGTTAAAATTAACCGCTAGTGGCGCTTTGTTCCCGTTGGCGACAGAAGCCAAGCTGAAAGGATACTGAATGATAATATCGCGTTATCCTAACTTTAGTCGGGCCCATCTGTAACTCAGCAGTAAGCATCAGGGCTTATAATGTTCCCCAGTGGCGCAGCGGTATGTCTGTGGACATATATTGCTAGAAACCGAGTTTCAATACCCGTGGTGGTCAGAGCACAGATAGAACTTCGTGCAGCTTTGTGCTAAATAACAGAACAACAACAGCTTTTTATGTTCACAAACGAATTGATATTATACGCATTCCTGTAATTTGATAAACTGTACTTTAAACTTGATGTATTAGTTTAAAAGTGTCGTTTAGCAGCAAAATCCAGTTTCAAGTCATCACTGCTTTGTTTAAAAAACTTATACTTAACTTATACAGACCTAATGAAGCTGAACTCTTTTACAAGCAATTTATATTTGGGAAGTACAGTTCTTGAGAAGAAGGACTGTTCAGTACTTGTGGAGCCACAGTTACTGCTTTTAAGGTTTACCATTAAATATATATCCAGGTTTATGTAAGTTTATTTTGATATGATCCTACACAGTAGTTATACCAGCTGGAACATCCATCCTGGGGTTTTGCTTGAAGGAGGTGAGCACTTGTTTTTTTTTTTTTTTTAGAATCTTTGCTCAGAGCTACACAACGGCCCTCTGCAGATATATGTCCCTAATTTTGAACTGATAGATCAGAAGGAAGACAGCTAGTCAACAGCACCCACCGCCAACTCTTGGCCCACACTAATCAAATAGTGGGATTTGACCATCACATTCACTATCTGCCCCAAAGTGTAGACAGGGCCGGATTGGGGGAGGGGGTGAACGGGTGCACTAAGATGAAAATTTAAAAACATTGTTACAGTTGTGTCTCTATCACAACAGCAATTTTAGTCATTTCGTATAAACCTGTTATTTTCAAAATTTTCATTAACATGTTCTTACAGTTTGTATTAACACGTTCTTACAACTTGTATTAACACGTTCTTATAACTTGTATTAACACGTTCTTATAACTTGTATTAACACGTTCTTACAGTTTGTATTAACACGTTCTTACAGTTTGTATTAACACGTTCTTACAGCTTGTATTAACACGTTCCTACAGTTTGTATTAACACGTTCTTACAGCTTGTAGTAACACGTTCTTACAGTTTGTATTAACACGTTCTTACTGTTTGTATTAACACGTTCTTACAACCTGTATTAACACGTTCGTACAGCCTGTATTAACACGTTCTTACAGCTTGAATTAACACGTTCCTACAGCTTGTGGTAACAAGTTCTTACAGCTTGTGTTAACACGTTCCTACAGCTTGTTTTAACACGTTCTTACAGCTTGTTTTAACACGTTCTTACAGCTTGTATTGACACGTTCTTACAGCTTGTGTTAACACGTTCCTACAGCTTGTATTAACACGTTCTTACAGCTTGTGTTAACACGTTCTTACAGCTTGTATTAACACGTTCTTACAGCTTGTATTAACACGTTCCTACAGCTTGTATTAACACGTTCCTACAGCTTGTGTTAACACGTTCCTACAGTTTGTATTAACACGTTCCTACAGCTTGTGTTAACACGTTCCTACAGCTTGTGTTAACACGTTCCTACAGTTTGTATTAACACGTTCCTACAGCTTGTATTAACACGTTCCTACAGCTTGTTCTTTCATAAATACTTCCTCGGCCATTTAAAAAAAAATCGTTAATTATAAAGAAAGATAAACTGGTTGACACTTTCCCAACGTATCTATCTATGCTTAATGGTTATTAACTGCATTGGCGAGAGGCTATTCGGTAAAATGTCGATAATCAAAAACAAGCTAAGGTCAACAGTGACAGATGAATGGTTAAGTGCCTTAGCTCTGCTTTCGACTTTAAGTGACATGTTGATAACCATTGATTTCGGATCTCCGATAACAGGCTTAGCTGCTGCCAGAAAGATAGTACTGATAGAGGTATTTGTGTGCGTGCTTAAACTTTAGTTAATAAATAGCATTGAATTGGATTTGACTTGTTTATAGAGTTCAGTTATGAGGACTCCCCTACAAAATTGCCTCGAGCCCACCAAATCCTTAATCCGGCCCTGGGCGCAGAGCAAATATTTGCTTGGTATATCGTACGTGAATGATAAGGTTGTAACTATGAATTAGTTACAAGGTAAAGTCAGATTGAAGCTAACTTCAAGTACGTGGATAGGAACCAATATTCATAGGTTATATGATACTGTACAATGATCAGTCATAGGTTATATGATACTGTACAATGATCAGTCATAGGTTGTATGATACTGTACAATGATCAGTC